TGCAGTCCTGTCTTCACTGGCTGCCAGTCTCTTCAGCCAATTTGTTGGTCTTCGCCTGCCTGTTAGTGTTCAAGTTTGTGTGACATTAAACATAAATCATGCATACGCAAAATCCAGATCTTCTTATCGGTCAGTACAGCATATTCCTGTCTTCTCAATCCCTGTGTACACTCTAACACATACTCCAGTCGACCACAATTAAGAATAACATCGGTGATAATAGGCAGTCAGCCTTGTCTTACTCCTGTATTCACTTCAAATGCCTCAATGAGTTTTCCACTATGGATCACCTGACAAATGGGATTATCATATAGCCAACTGTTGAATGAGGTTAATAAAGACTTGGGGTAGTGAATGTGTTGTCTTTCAGGAACGACAAAGGAAACCTCGCATTTAAATCCACTAGCTAAGAGAACTTGATCATATCAAAATAAGTCAACTAAATTAAAGTTCTACATTATTATTATAATCATTATTATTAATTAATTAATATTTTCTCAACTAATAATAGTAACGTGAACATTCAATGTTCTTTAAAATACCAAGCTAATGAATTCCAGACTGACCTTTTCATGAAATCACCATTGTGTGTATTGAATATTTGTTCAAATAGATTAAATAATACAACACTAGTGTATGTTCACATTGATTACTTTTAGTCTAGAACAATAATTTTTAAGAATTTTATTTAAGCACAATAAGCAGCTTATATTTTTAAAAATGGTCTTATCAGCTTTCCAGTTTGGCCAGTGGACAGTTAACTAGAAATCAATAAACTCTATTCAAACGTCATCCCTTGATAATTATTTATTGACAATTGTTGGTTTGTAGGGAATGGATTGGTTACAGGACTGTTCAAGAGCTGACATCACTTAGAGAAGAAATCGGAGACCTGGGAGTACTGGACAACTGTTCCATCCTATTTATGTGAGGTCTGGCTGTTAGTCGAAATTGGTGGACAGTAATTTACGTCAATGTTTATGTCCCCAATATTGGTCGTGAGAAAAATGATAACAAAGGCTTTGCGTAGACGGATACAGTTAACATATAGATGATCTGACATTCAAGAAACAGCCACAAAGAGATGCAAGGTTAACTTTCTTTGAAGAATAACCAATCAGAAGACTGTTTTTCTGCTAACAATAATCTATAATATGTACATGAAAATCCATATATATATGTTGATTTCTTTAACAAACGGTCTGTTGTCTGGCCCTTGTCTTCTGTTGTTACAGTATTCCTTTGGGGCTGTTCAACAGAACGCACCCATCGGGGTACAAAATTAGGACTTTTCGGTTCCAAGGCGAGCTTGTAGACTATTCAGCCACTTCGAACCTACTCAGGAGTCTGTGAATTCCAAAATTTGCAATTCATGGTATACCTAGCGCAACTTCCAGAGAATGACAACGGCAACTGTTTTCGCTTACCCAGTTTGATAAAATGAGTCTGAGTGAAATTTGAAGAGCGAATAAAAATAATTTAAATAATATGATGAACTTGTTCAACATCTATCTACTTATAGAACACAGATAAGTGACAACAGTTTTGATCTTTGGATCAGTTAATTTAAGAGAGAATAAAGAACATGTCAAGGAATTTATCCTTAAGTTCATATTGTTACGAAGACACTCCACACCGATAAATACTATGTACTTCCTTCGACTTTAACTCCAAAACACCAGTATTGTAAGAAGGAAGTTATATTGTTTGGCAATTAAAGTGGAGAACAGTAAAAGTTTTTATTCGTTTTCGTTCATCTTCGTCGAACTTGTACACGATCGAACAATTCGCGCCTTCGAGTTGCCCACCAATGGCTAACAGTTCCAAAAACAAATGTTCAATGTTCACGTCCATTGACAAATGGTCTGATTATGGCTGTCAACGTGTTCCAATCAATACATGAGATAACTGATGTTCACTTATTTCCCTGGGTCTTAAAATGTACTTCTGAACATCTTATAATTAGCTATCAATCAGATACCGTTAACTTCTTGAAAAAGACAACGCAGATAAATCAGAATGGAATAGTTTGTCCTTCAGCTCAGTTACCATGGTGTCACAGGATTTAATGTTACGAGAAAAAACAGTAGCAAACCCTGACCTTGAGGAACTCACCAACCAACCACAACAGACTTAACGTGCACAAATACGATCCGCAGATGTATGGCTTGACAGAGAGGATGACAGAATAACCTTGAGCAGGAAAACAACCAGTCAGAAGGCGTTGCTTCTCCACTAGTAATAAGGAATAATAATGTACATAAAAATATATAAATATCTCTTGATTTTCTCGATAAACGATCTGTTCCCTGACCCTTGTCTTCTGTCGTCACATATTTACCAGTTTAACTCTACGAGCGGATCTAGTTACATAGGGCGTACGATCAGGCAAGTTCATCGCCAAATTTCTAAACAATTCCCATCTTGATTTGGCAATGGTCCGAATAAAGCTGTACACAGCTCAACAGTAGCCCATCTCGTCGATTCTGACTGGACATCAAGTCGACTCTAACAAAGCTTTTAAAGTTACTTATCGTATATCACCCAACCTCAGCAAGCTTTAACACTATGACAGGCCCAAAACTTTTACCAACCTCATGTGAAGTGATCCACAACTGATATGTCTTTAAAGTGAATACAGGACTAAGACAAAGCTGCCTACTATCACCAATGATGTTGCTGATTGTTATGCGTGCATGGTAGTAGAAAGGTAGGAATACCTTGGGCCCACAAGATTACTCTAGAAAGTTTGAACTTTGTGGATGATTTATGTTTAATATACCAAGGAACTCAAAGATCTACAGATTAAAATCAACTAGTTAGTAGACGTCGTAGTGAAGGCAGCACTTCAAGTGAACGTCGAGAACACAGTGGTGATAAAGATACTTAGCTGGAATCAGTAACGAGCACCAATCATTTCATTTATCTAGGCATTAACGCTTCAACTATAAAATTGGAGGCACTGATAAAGATGTTGAAATCAATCAGGATGAGAAAGCCAAGATAGACCTACATTATTCTGAATTCAGTGTGGAAATCTACTGCACTTAGTATAAAGAACAAGATTTGGATATCAATTCACTGCTTCTATGTAGTTCAGGGAATAAGCGTATGCTTCGCTAGCTCATTACTAAAGATCAGATAGTTAGGAACTTTGATACAGAACCTATTGCTCAACAAGAATGTTGAAAGTAATGGTGATGGATACTGAGAAGACGGCCAATTGACATTAAATGCCAAGCAGACCATAGCTGAAGTGGAACCTGAATGCGAAAAGATGAGTTGGGCGTTGGCCTGAGGGTAATATGAAGGTGACTGTATGAGAAAAAGACAAGAGCTTATGGGAAACTGTGGAGTCAACTAAGCAGAATCGCACGTGACAGGATGAAGTGGATATGTGAAGCCCTTGAAGCCTAGTTTCCCACCCGGAACTTAAAGGAGTAACAAGAATAACAAATACTGGTTGTATATATTCTTTATTTGTTGAATCTGAGATATCAGCCGTCAGAGGTTAATTCACTATACCTTAAAATAATCATTTCACCGTTTACAGATTTCTATTGTCCTTTTGTGAATATTTCAAAATACCATGGATTAGAATTGGTTGGACTAAAGATATTACTATGATGATTATTATTATTGATATTAATGTTTAGAATGGAAATAATGTCACACACTATTTCCAGTGGTGTCTCTATTCACTCGATATTTGTGTATATAAACCGAAGATCAACAGTTGACCTCACTCTCTCAAAACGGTGGTTCCTTGCTCAATCATGACAACAAAGAGTTAAGAGTTTCTTCCCGACCCCCCGCCGCATTAACAGATAGGTATTGACAATTAAAGAGTTTCACAGTGGTAAAAAGAGTTGTCTAGTCTCTTTCGTACTCATCTGTCTCCCTGTTACGAGTGGAACGTAGAGCTTCAAGCGACAGCTTTGAAGTTCCAGTGGGTTCGGTTATACTGCATAGAGTTGCTAGTCTCATGCCGAAACTCCCCTCTTTATACCAGATGTACTACCAGATTATAGTGAGGTTTAGAAGCGGGTCGACCGAGGATCGAACTTCGAAACACCTGTGTGGTTGGCGAGTATCCTGTCGCTGAACCACCGACACACCACTTATCGCCTAGTGAATGAGATTTCGAAGTCAATACCCAGTAGACAGTTTATGCTTGCAATAGGTGATCTGATAATAGGCTTTTAAGGAAATTCAATATGTAGGCCCAAAACAAACAAACGAATACAATATAAATAACAACGATTACACTGCAAATTAGTGATCCAATAGTAGAATACTCGTCAGCTATACAAAAAGTCCCAGTCTGACTGTCAGTCGACTAGTTTACTAGTCAGCAGATAGAAGGCACAGAAAAGGTTGTATGTCAGACTAGAGATCACACCCAGTGGAAAGAAAAACAAAGCCACTGAAAATTCAAAGCATAAAGCTTCATACTCCACTGAGGAAACCCAAGGTATGCAGGAAAATACTACTACATGTCAACAGAGGTAGGAGACTAGACCACGAAAAGGAGACTGACGATCAGCTGGCTGGCGAGAAAGAATTAGCATCCAGAAACTATGAGAACGAGCCAACCAAGAATCTACTGCTTAACAACAAATATTCTGAAGAAAATGGAGATGGATTTGAACACACGCTGAAGTAACCCACTGGGGGGAACATCACGTCCCAGGTCATCACTCGAGTGGCATCCAAATAGTGAAAAAGTGAGTTGGGCCCTGGTCTGAGAGTGAAAGAACAAAATCTTGCGAAGAGGAGATGAAGCATAATGTTGTCAGTTGAAAAGATACCTTCTTCACTTGCCACTTTCAACTGGCAATCATCCTACACCATTGAATGACCGACATACCACAACCACAACCAGACGAATATCTGTAATTCAAAAGAGATGGAAGACCAAGTAAGTGTAAGTTGCAGTGGTCGTACTTGTTAGGCCCCCCTCCAATCAGACTGATCATAAAATCTCGAATTTCGGTTAGGTAATTTAAGAAAGAAGAACTACTGAGCAGTATTCGTTTTGTAATTATATTCTTCTAATAGAGATATGAAACAAAATTCATCCTTTAACACACTACTGTGAATATAAAAGGTACGGGGTAAAAGAGAAAGTACAATTTCATACAAAAATCACTCGGACTGAATCATTTCATCATAATCCCAGTGATACAAAACAGCAAAAAATGACAACCGGGAAGTTTCCGTGAGTGTTACTCATCATCATCTAATTGAAAAACTACAAAGTTAATCATATTATGAAGCAAAAATACACAGAGAGAAGGAAAACATCATTTCACGGATTTCATAGATAAACACTATTGATTAGAGAACAGACTATTCACATAGTTGGATAATTTTGTGTACAACGGTGTATTTTCATCACTGACAGTTGATGACTTTCTTTCATTGGCAATCATAAGAGCTACATTACGTCCACCGATGATAGCCATTTCCATACATGATGCAGCTAATTCAATAGCATTAGGATAATAAACACCTGGAGCTAATTTGAACTCTCCTAGTTCAGTGTACGGATCAGTCTAGATTTGAAAATATTCAGAGAAAGAAAAACATAAGCAAAAACACAAATTATCATCTCATATAAGTAAATTCACGAAATAACTTAGCGTAGCTTAACACGTACATTGTTAATAAGAATTCACTGACGCATTACTGACATATTAGCGGCCTACAGAATCATTTCCCACCTAGGAATAATCGAGATGACTTACAGTATGCGGATGATACAGTCCCTTTTAAGCGAAGTCACTGAATACAATCCAGATTCAAGTATTGATTTGTAGGGATTCTGTTTGATTGGTTGAAAGATTTCATCATGAGCTGACGTAGGTTAGAGAACCATTGGACAGTTGTTTCATCAGCATGGTTTGGGACTCCTCAGCGGTAGGTACACACCGCCGAATCACTTCATTTTCGGCGTAGATGTGATATCCGGCTTCCAATCAAAGAACATGTGCAAATGTGAGAACTAGTTCGCTCTGTCCTCCCTGAATGAATTGGGAGACGTGGCTATCGAAAGTGGAAGATATGATAAGGCTAGCCGTCTTTGATCACAGATGTCTGAATTCTGTCGCCTGTGTTAAATGGTATAATCTGATGAGCAAGATCAGGTTACGCATAGAGTGTTAAGTAAGAAGGGTCAGTCTGTGAAACTGCATCAATTGCGAGTTGTGCATGCATGCTTAGTCGTCCATCGCCTTCATTGACGGGCAATAGGTGAGCAAATATCAGATTATAAACGTATAACCAACAATGTATTCACTTACCACAGGATGATAAGTTGGATACGCTAACCATCGGACAACATCAATTCGATTGTGTTCATCATTCGGATTTTCTAAGAGTAATTTCGATAATGCAGACTTTGCATCCGGAAAATCTTTTGGTTCAGAATATATACTCCAAATACCATCAATAGCCTCTTTGGAGTCTTTAGACTTAACTGGTAAACGCATAATACTTCGGATAGGATGTTTTTCATGTGTATAATAATTTGCCACCGGAAGAAACGATACAATTTGATTATCTCCCAAAGGTTCTGAAATAGTTCAAATACAGAGGCATACAGTTAGTAGGATATGATGACAGGAAGGAAAATCTGGTACATAATGTATGTGTGTGTCGCTCGGGGTAAGAGGCGATCACTGATTTGATGATTAGAACTGGGCTATTCACAGTCTATGATTCAAATTTTAAAAAATATTTATATAATCCCATTTTTTAGGCAATCTGGGCAGCCTTCCAAACTTTGCACAATGTAGCAGCACGTTTCACGTCCTCATTCCTTTTTGCTCTCATTATAGGAAGATATATCGGTTGACTGGCTCCCGAAGGCTTTCATCAGCTCAAATCATTTCGCCTCTCTGATACCGGTGAAGAATAAATTTTTGTTTTCCATATTTTTAATACTTTCCTTGTGCATTGAAGTTTCTGTAGCAGTCTGATTGATTTTCGAGGTAGGCTGCGTTAGCTCCAATCCCGATCACCCCTCCTCTTTTTCTGGGCTTGGAACCGGCTAGAAAAGAAGTGAGCTAGTCAAATAGGTGAGGTTAAAAACCAAGGTGTACTGGGAAGCTGTTTCTCCCTAGTTTGAGACTCATTGTCAGTAATCACCCACCGACAGCGTCCAAACCCAGGACCATCCCAGTTACAAGGCAAGCTCGTGAACCGTTCAGTCACTGGGACACGTTACACCTTCATCACCCTGACATCAGTTTCGAAATCTTCTTCAGTAAGTACCAAGAACAAGACTTGGATTTTCCACACAAATTTTACGTCAGTGAGTTCTTCTTTATGGCTAAAGAACTTAACGTGTCACGAAAACCATTTCCAACAGGTTTCAGACATTTATCAGCAGATGCCTTCGCATTGAAGCACACGACTGTTGCCATATGTGTGTATATGTGAATAGAAAAACAGAAATCTGTTAATATTTTCACCAGAAAACATAGAGAAACCTTAAACAACCGCTGAGAAAAGGATTATATAGTAATTTAGATTATAGGTTGTTTCTACGGTTTTAAATTAATTTCAGGTGTTAAATTCCGTCACACACCAACATCAGGAAGCACAAGACAGGTGTGATTCGTCCTAGTTTTGGAACTCCTTAGGAGTGCACACCCATGACCTCACCGCTAGGAATCGAACCCAGCACCTCCAGTTTACAACACCAAAGTCTTTGAAAATAGTCCAAATTTCAGAATATCAATCTCCACTTCACTGACGACTACTTAGTGGATGCCATGAAGCTGCACTAGTGGGAGGTCACCATGCGAAGCTGAAGTGGATGATCATTGGAGGCAATCGGATTAGGGCAGAGCTATATCAAGAATTAAAAAATTTCAAATTCACGGGTTACTGAATTCCAGACCAAGTGATTGAATATTCAACAACCTTGGTCTTGTGAACTTAAGGTCCAGTCCCACGTTTCATCATAGGAGGTGTCTATTCAGTGATCTCTAACTGGTGTTCGTTCGTGAAGAAATATGCACTAAAATATAGTAATTACAAAACGCAATATCGGTTTAGGAGTGGTAATCATGACCAAAACAGACTACTGTTTCGAGAAGATAAATACCACCCTTAATCACCATCGAGAATTCAAAAACATTGCATCTCTCTATACCATTGGGAAAAAAATTGACAAATACATAGTTGAGTCGATGGATGGTGATCAGCAGTGGAATCCAGGACAACGTGCGTTTCATCCTATTTGGGACTCATCAGCCAGTGGAATTACGTGCATTCTCCAGTGTTCCCACTGAGGCTCGAAACCAGTGACTCTAGTTTCCAATGCCAGAGCATTATTTACCAGACCACATGGTCTACGAGAGCCACCTCTTGTGCGAAGGGTCTTATCAATTATTTAATTCAATTTTAAGTTTTTCCCGTCGATTTATATGACTAAAGTGCACAAGAGGCTGCTCTCATCGCCCGAGTGGTCCAGTGGATGACACTGTCGTTTGAAACTATGGGCACTGTTTTATGAGCGTCGGTGGGAACACCACCACTCACAAAGGAATGCACGTGTATCCAACTGATGAGTCCCAAAGAGGACGAAATGCACTTTATCCTGGATTCCACTGCTAGTCACCATCAACCAGTTCACTTCAAGTTACATGACTCAACATCGTCAAATCACCTGCACACAAGAAACCGACATATCAACCTGAGACCGAGTACTTTGTTCCAATCAATCGACGGAAAAAATCTATATTGAATTAAATAGTTAGTTGAAGCACTGAAACGATTGAAGCAACAAGACTGTACCTCACAAAGTTTGTATGAACTACTCACACGTTCTTGCCTTCCATAAAACTGTGTATGACAAGTACGTGTGTGATCAGAATGTTCAAAATGTGTTGAGTAAATACATTATACGTTTAAGATAAAGTATGTTTTTTTTGTTATTGTGTTGTAGAAATTCATAAAGGGAACTAATTGCTTTAAATTTTTGAAGCAAACAATATCCCTGATGAACTTAATAATATAACTCCTGCAATAAATCTTGCCATCGAGAAGGTAGGAGATGATAGTATTTCATTCCTAGACCGACGTCCTTATGACTAGAAAACAGAGAACGGAACAATAAGAAGGGGGGGCGGTAATATAAAGAAAATCTACATGGACTGGTTATCAGTTTACCAATTTTCTAGAGAATTGTACCTTTGAAATATACAAACGCAATCTAATAAAGTGTCTGGTCCACAAAGCTTGAGCAATCAGCTCTAATGAATTCCTTAACGAGGAACTCAATTGTTGCATTTAAAGCCAAGGTAAGCTAATGTGTCAGCAGTCTGAAAGAAGACCTTGTTCTTAGAACTGCAGATCCCTGGTTATAAAACCAGTGAAATAGTAACAACTTCTACAGAATGCAGTAAGAAGAGAATTCAATGAAACAGTAGAAATTCGTTGTAACTCCATTATGGATAAAATTTTGGATGAAATCACACAGTCGGTTGGAGGATTTCATCATCAGCTGATATCAGTTAGAGGACCATTGGGAAACCAACTGGGAGAACACAACAGCTATTTCAACCTAGTTTGGGACTCTTCATCAGTTCGCATCCACAGGCGAGGTTCGGACCCAGGACACTTCGGCTACGAGGCGAGCTCGTAGACCATTAAGCCACTGGGACTCAATCCAATGGCATGTCAGTTCTAGCTCCTGCCAACTCATGACATGGCATGACCACTTCTTCTTCGATGACTTACTGCCTCACCTTCAACCCGCTGTACCCTGCTGCTCACTAGTGCCTATAAAAATGCCAATGCATTCTAACACATATTTAGACTTTGATTCATCTCATCCGTTGTCTGTAAAGGCTGGTTTAGTTAAGTGTCTAACAAACCGAGAAATAGCACTAAGTAGTACAAAAATGGCCTGAACGATGAAATGAAACAGATAGAAGAGGCGTTGGTGTTAAATAAATATCCTATAAAATTCATTAGGAATATCAAAAAAGGTGAACGAAAAGTAAAAATAATGGCGAAACCAATAGTAACTAAATAAATGGGAAAGAATATAAGGTATCTACAGTTTTACCATATAGAGGAGGGGACATCTGGGGTCCTACGTAGGATTCTCAATGAATAATAATAATGATTTACTTTATTCCAAAAACAGTACTTGTGATACAGAATGGAATTTTCAGCATTAATCACAATATTGCATCTAATTTCCTCAAATTATAAATAAAATTAATCACACAGAAAATCTTCCACATTTACAATAGGGCTAATATCAGAAACATGCAGCATATAAAATGGAAATAATAATAATAATGATAACAGCTAAGGTAATAATAATAATACAAGTGAAAATTTCCGTGGGCTTGCTTCACACAGTATTGTCAATGCGGTATAGAAATCCTAACATGTTTAAAAATATTGAATATAATGTTCTCTTTACATGATATGGTGAGGGGAAAAACAAAGATTACAGCAGTCATGGAGATAAGTTGGTGTTTGCAATTATGAGAGTAAAACAAAGAAGCAACAGGACCATAAATATAATAGAAGTAATAAAAGTAAAACTTGAAGGTATATAAGGATGGATGGAGGAAATTGTTTATTTACTAGATGAAAAAAGGTTAGTTAATTCTTGCCTGACACTATTTTCATCACATAAAATACGTGCCAAGTATGGTATCATAGAATTCTTATACTTAGACGTGCGAGCATACAGTTTTCTGAAGTTACTCCTTGTTCTACCTGAGGAGATGCAAGGTGAAAGCTGAGGGTAAAGCGGATGCTCCAAGTCAGACAAAATCCCTTTAGCAAATTTATTGCATGAAGTCAAGTGCCTATCGACAACGACGTTAACTATGTGGTCCACTGGGACACCACTCACCCTACTGACAGTCTTCAGTATTCTACGAATTGTGACATAGTCTTTTTTAAGCAAACCAGGAAAGAATAAGGGTGAGCAATAAAGAAGAATAGGTAGGATGCAAGAGTTTATGAACTGTAAGAGGAGGGGTTGAGTTATACCCGAGTGTCTTAACTTCTTAATGTAAAATGTCAGGCGGAATATTTTACTGGAGATTGCTAAGACATGGGAAGACCAGGAGAGATCAGAAGAGAGAATGAGTCCAAGATACTTAATTTCTGATTTGATTCCTATATCATTGTCGTCAATTTTACAACTGTCATGAGAATCGATGACTTCTTTTAACTGTCGTTTACATCTTAAGCTGAAATCAACAGTTTGACACTTAGAAGGATTCAGTTTAAGACCGTTAGACTCAGACCATTTGCTGACTCCCGATAGAAAGCTATTTATTTTGGTACAATCTAGCTGGGAGTTAACAGCCATTGAAACCGTTAAATCATCAGCGTACTTCACAAAGTTTATTTCATCAGAGTGAGGCAAGTCATGCAAAAAGAAAGAAAAAAGAAAAGGAGAAAGGACAGCGCCTTGAGGGACACCAGCTTCAGTAGGCAATGAAGTGGACGACTTCCCTTTATATACGGTGTACTGCTTTCTATCTGAGAAATAGGAATGTAACCAGTTAACAGCCCAACATTCTGTTTGACTAGCAGCAAGTTTATTTAATAAGATGTCCCTAGGGACCGAGTCAAAAGCAGATGTATAGTCTAGGAAGGCGCAACGAACAAATTTAGCCCCCTTGTCTAGACTGGAAGCAATGTTATGATATAAGACGGCAGCTGCATCTAAAGTGCTTCTACTGTGCTTATAGGCAAATTGTTTAGGGTCATTAAAGGATTTAAGCGAAGGTACAAGACTAAGTAAAAGTAATTTCTCCATAGTTTTCAAAAAAGGAGAGGTAATAGCAATGGGTCTAAATTTGACACATGCTCCAGTAGATGATTTAGGTATGGGTACAACTTTAATGTCCTTCCAAACGGCAGGCACAATATTATCGGAAAAAGATTTGTTAAATAGATCAGTAAGAGGGTGACACAGAATATCAGAACATTTTTTAAAATAATACTAGGTACATAATCGGGACCTAAGCTCTGGGAAGGGTTTAGAGACTTGAGGCACTTTTGAACATCATTTGTGTTAAAACCTAGAAAGGGGCTATTATTAACACTAGTGATTCTGGGAAGCACGGCATTTGAAGGAGAGTAAATAAAGCAGGAATAAGGGTGGCATTCAGACCTACAAACTCACTCAGAGACAAGCCCTGTAGACTAAAGAACCCAGCTGACCCAATTAAACAAAATAATATAATTTACAAAATACCTTGCAATGACTATGACGGAGGTCAACTACATAAGTCAAACTAGTAGATCAGGAGTAGTGAGATTATCAGAACACAAGAATTTAAAAAAAAACTCAGCAGTAATAGCTCTGCATGCATTACTACACAACTACACAATAGGGTGGTGGGAGAGGGATAAAATTCTAAAAAGTAATACAGGTAGATGGAGAGAGAGATCGGTTGCTGAATCCTGGTTCATCGAGTCTACATCCAACACATGCAATAAAAAAGACTCAATGCAAATACCAGAGATATGGAAGATATTATTACCACTTGTGGATAAACTACACAATCTCGCCTCCTGTACGTGTATCTATCAGTTTGACTACTCAAGTGAAGCAAGTTACATTGGGCACAGAATTATGCATGTTTCTCATAGGATTTCTGAACATCATTTTGCATGGTTAAGCAAGGGACTGACAAGATCCGTTCGCAGCTCTGTTTAGTTCATTTTGTAGATAGTGAACACAGAGTCGATGTTAACAAGGCTCTGAAAGTTATCTACCGTATTCCGACTAACCGCAATATCACTTTACAAGTTCATGTTAATATATGCGTAAAACTTGGGCACTGTGATAGTAAGTAATTCCATATTAGTTAGTTTATTAGATATATCACAGAGTGAAACAGTATTATTTACTGGATGAAACAGTTTCGAACAAAATTTATTGTTCATAATCATATCAATTGTGATCACACGACTTTGAACTTTGAGTTCTATAGTTTCCTTTGTCTTCTCCTATTTGTCGTAATGGTAGTAGAATTTTCCATATATCTGGGACAGGTGTTGAATCATTCCTATTACACATATTTGCAGTTGATTCGATAAACAAAGCTTCTGTTACCAATCTCTCCCCATACCCTGTGACATTAGATTTTAAAACTGTCATCCTATCCCATCCTGTTGTATGGCTGTGTGTGACTGCAGGATCCTTTAACCGACAAAGCTTGCTTCTAATTGAGTTTGTGGGTTTGAATGCTAACTACTTTTACTCTTGCCTTGTTAAGAATTCTCCGTAAGGCTTCCGAGGTTCCTTCCTTGTATGGAATTACTGTTGATGATTTTGACTCCTTATTGTTGGTGTCGTCAATGATATTATTATCACTATTATTATTACCATTATTTATTTTATTTTTACATTTACTTACATATTTCTTGACTAATTTATCCGGGTAATTATTAAGTTTCAAAACTTCTTTTATGTGTATCACTCCCTGTCTTAGATTTTCCTTGGTACTACTTAGTTTTTGTGCTCTGTCATTTAAACATTTCACTAATCCTATTTTTACTGACATACGATGGGTTCATCGGAAATCCAAATATCTCTTTGAGTGTGTGGGTTTTCTGTAAACACTAGTGTGCTTAACTTCCATCTTCTTTCCTTTTTACGCTGCAATCTAGGTTCGTAACGTCATCCAGTAAGTAATACTGTTTCACTAACTGTGTGATACATCTAATAAACGAACTAATATGGAATTACTTTACAAGTTCATCTTTTATATAAGCGTAACTGAAGCCGTCAGAATCTACCTTAAGAAGCCCAAATTATGTGTTCAGTAGAAGTTCCTGCAGAGACTTTCACCCTACCTAGGCCATCACTACTTGGTTACACCAATCTCACCATTTCATCTTCCCTCTAAGCCCTTCAAAAGCTACCATTATACAGCCAAGTGAGGAGGTTATCGATCTTCTCTGCTGCCTTCTAAATTTCCCAAATGGGAATTCTCTTTACACTGTAATAGGAAACAGGGATTGGATTACAACTGGGATTCGTAGGCTTGATGCATATACAAAAAGTTAATAAACCCATTAAAGTCTTTTGAGAGAAAAAAGCCCAGACAATCGACACTAAAATTCAACGTATCATTGTAGTATGTGTATGTAAAGCGTAACTTACTTTGAGGCAAGCCAAACAGTGAATAATTGATGCTACCAGTTAAAAGTGTTCGACACATTTCATGATATTTTATTTGAGGCAACTTTATATCATCAGATGTAGCCAGTTTAGATTCTTGATGCAGTGGCATTGATAAAATTACATAGTCGAATGAAGATTCTTCAGTCTGCTTTGTATCAGCTAACTCATAGGACAAGCATAATCTGGAAAATTTTAAAAAAGGAAATAAATATAACAAAGAAGTATTCTCACATGAAATGATCAGTGGGGTCCACTTATCTGGGAGTGAGGGCAGATATTCACAGTCATGACATTGTACTGCACAACAGTCCATTCCGTCCTCCTTCATAGCTAGCTGCCTTTGAGCCTGAGTCCTATTTCCCATTTCAGGAAATGTAATAATGTGAGTAATATTGAGGTTGTGTGTCGAGTGTTAGGTAAGCAGGGAAGTACAGTCGATGAGGTTTTGAATCCACGCCTAAACATAGCCATCTTCAATGGGGGAAGTTAGCTGATATAGGATTGGTCTTTGACAGTTATTTCGTGCCACTTAAGGAGGTGTAAGCTCTCTGGCTGTGGTCCTCGGGATTCTAAGAATTAATGACTGGAGACAATTGCTGATGCGGCTTAAAATCGTTCTAATGACACAGATGCATTCCGCTCTTTGTGATCTGTAATATCCATTAAACACTAGTGTTTTTCCATGCTAATATGCTTCCTCCTTCACACTTCCACTTACTAACGTTCTTCCGAACCTATTATTTTTCTCTTTTGTGTGCTACATGGAGTGAGGCAACTCAAAGTGGTGCACTTCTGTGCAGAGTTCTACGTGGAAACCAATCAGTGAGGCGATGACACTAGCTGGTGGAGGGTGCACTATGTCGTGAATCGACACAAGTTAGAATTTATCGGCTGGCCATTGGATTCCTTTCCAAGTGACCGAATGGTCAGCAAGCTTGGCTTCGTGAACTAAAGATATTGGGTTCAATCACTACCATTGGGGTGATGGGTACGTCATGTTGAAAAGTGAAAAACAAGGACGAAACAGCTGTCCAGTACTCCTCTTTTGATCCTCAATGGTTCTGTACTTGTAACTAAAAAGAGAAATTCTTTAACCTCCAATAAATTGTTTTAAACCAAATGGAGTTGAATGTGAAAAGTTTAAGTAACCAGGGACTAAGGTCAATCAACTACTGCTACATTCTGTTCAGATGTAGTGAATGAAACTTCTCATACAGCGATGAAACAGAGACTTTGAGTTCTCAGCGTGGAAGTATGAAATCAATACAGCAATTCTTCTATTCCTCTTGACTACATCTCACAGCGATAAAGAAGGGTGGAACCAAGTGCTGCGCAGTAGACACGTTCTATGACTGCGAAATATAATCAATATCGGAACATCAAACATAACAGACCGATTATAAGCTCAAAAAAAGAGTATATAAACGATTCCAGACCGATGGCTGCTATCTCGACGTAATGGTCAGGTATGCATATTAATCACAGCGACCCAACGAGGTACACTGGCTGGGACTTGTCTTCTTCCAAACCCTACCATACCACAAAGCTTGTGTGGATAGTAGGTGGACTAAAAGACGTTACTGTTATGGTATCCAGCTGTTTACACCGAGTTAAGGAGGTCTGAGGGTAAAGTCATATCTGCTTGGAAGTAGGGATGTAACGGTAGTAAGCAAGTAAACTAATGAATGCACACTGAAATGGCCGAAAATTTGTACCTTATCCTTAAGGCATGAGTAACTTAACTGTCTGCAGGAAAATGTGATTCTCAAGGTGGTTGCTTGACATGTCTTCTTCAGACACTTAGAAAGGCACTTTCTAAGAATTTTTGCTTCAATATCACTCCTACAATTTAGCTACATGAAGAAAGTTTTCATGGGAACAGTTGTAGATTTCGGCGACGGAGTTTTTTCTCTCATGTTTCTGTTGACAAATATATGAGGATATCCGTTTTTCACTAGGGTGTTACATAAAGTCTGCGTTGTTTGTGGGTGCATAGAATTGTATAACTGACGTTTTCCTTCCTTTGAAGTTGAATCTGGTGGTCATTATCCTGGGCGAGATCGCCTCCCATTGCATCAGGTGTCACATAGAGATTTTAATTCAGCCTCTAAGCGTATCTACCGAACAAATTTTTCTTCAAATCCTTAAGCATAAGGTAAGTACTCAGTTTTACTTTCGGACCAGTGGGATAGCAAACTGCTAGGATAGTTAGTTAGAGAAGCCCAACTATAAGAGTGGTTAACAAAAATTCAACCCCCAGCGCTAATAATTCCCGAGTTCAAATGTTCCTGCACCTACTTAAGCTTGGGTAACACACTGGGAGTAGTGTCATCAGAACTCACATAATAAGTGTCGTAGATTTCGACACTACGATTGTTGTCACGTCTCTCCTAAGTATTTTAGTAATTAATCTCTTATACACCTACCCTTAATATTCTGGTATTTACGCATAAAAGACGGTTAAACTTTATCTGATATTTCCCTTTATAACTTCGAATACAGAAAGGGTAACAGTTTGTGCAGAATGAAATGGTACCACATCGTTTATTTCATCGGCTCCTCATCAGCTCTGTACAGCCTAAAGAAGTGAATTAGGTATATGGATAGGATAATTCTAACACACTTGGAAGTGTCACACAACAGGAAATTTCAAACTTAATAGACAGTGCTCAAAAAATACACTTATATAACCACCTACACACAAAAGACTCAAGTCAGAACAACAGATACATTAGACAGGTGAGATGATGAGCAACAAATAAGTTGAGTAACAATACGGGTGAGCTGAGTTTAAATAACAGAAACAAGAGAGTCAAGTACTGATTTGCAAGGATTTGACTGGTTTCAGAGTATCCTTATGAGCTGATATCGGTTAGCCTGGAAGTACTGGACGGCTGTTTCGTTCTAATTCAGGACTCTTCATCAGTACGCATCCACTGTCACGACTAGTGGGGTAAAGCAGGTCAGGTGTGAGGACGAATACTCGCCACCGATGACATTGGCTAGTGGTCGCATTATATCACGAATTGGCAGGAGTTGGAATTCATGGACTGGCCGCCAGAGGTCGGGTTCCAGTGGCTTATTGGTCTACGAGTTCGCCTTGTAACTGGAAGGACCTGGGTTCGAACTTCGGCGGGTGAGTATTGATGAGGAGTCCCAAATCGGGGCGAAACAGTTGCCCAGTACTGCCATCTGGTTTTTTGCAGTGGTTCTCTAAGTGATATCAGCTCATGATGAAATTCGGAAACAAGAGACACGCTAAATTACATTGAAGCAATGGAGGAAGAGGTTAAAACCAAGGAAGAATTTCTGACTCTCGAAAAGACGTTGAAAAACAACGGTTACTCTCAGAAATTCATTAGGAAGTACGGAGGATGTGAAGGTTTAAATAGGAAACAAATCTCAGCGGAAAAGATGCCTACCTTCAATCAACTCAGTTTTAAAGATGAGAATATTGCAGGAATAGTCAACACAGGATTGAATACTTCAATCGCCAGAACATATCGTGCAGACAAGTCTTTTCCAATTTATCGGACAGCATGCTCTTCAGTGTAGTCAAAGGTCGACGGATGCCCTTCTTATACCAGCTCTAATTATGTATACAAATTCATACGTATCTGTGTGTGGTAGCAGTTACATCAGGAGAACAAAAAAGGTCATACCTTCGATTCTCTCAACATACACCAAAAAGCCTAGGTCTCAAGGAAACAAACAACTTCAACAGTGCTACTGCCAGGCATCTCATCCATACGGGTCATGAGGTGGACAATATGAATTCCTTTCAAATTAGCAATCAACAAAAAATGGTTCAGTTCTCTTCAAGTCTGCCAGAGTAGTTGCTATCAAACATCTGAAACTCGAAAAAGGCAGTTATCAGTCTTTCCTTGACCTGGTAACTCGGTGTCTTTACTTCCTTTCTTTTATTTGATGACGTAATCTTTGCCTTTGACGCCTCCATCCTCGCTATACAGTAATTTTGATTTGAGTTGAACTCACTAGCATGTCATCCACCTCTAGTCTCAAATACGCAACTACTTTGCCAAAATGTCCAAGTATTTGTATTCTTATTTAAACTTGAACTTTATGTGTATAAGTCATATTGTGGTGAGAGCTGTCTGCTAGCCGAAATTGGTAGACAGCAATTTACGTCAATCTTTGCGTCCCAAATCTTGGTCATGAGTAAAAACAAGAACACAGCCCAACCTTGAGGAACTCAACAACCAATCACAGCAGACTTAGCGTGGGCGGACACGATTCTGATAAATATCACCGGACTGCCTAAGAAACGGCAACAAAGAGATGACAGAGTAACCTTCAGCGGGAAAACAACCAATCAGAAGACGTTATCTCTCTGCTAACAATAACGAATAATAATGTACAAAATAATCTATAAATATCTGTTGATTTTTTTCAATAAACGATCTGTTGACTGGCCCTTGTATTCTGTCATCACAATATAAGTGTAATTTTATGAGCACTGTCTATTAAGTTTGAAGTCCCCTATAAACTGACATCATGTCAATTTTGCAAGTATGTTATAATTTTTTTACGAGCTGATCACGGATTGATATCAGTTAGAGAACCATTGAAAACCAGGAAGTACTGAACAGCTGCTGTTTCATCCTAATAAAAACATAACTAACTCTTACAAACCAAACTATAGAAAATTAATCTGATGTTCGCTAGTGACTTACTACAGGTTGGAGCTTCCTGAGTTCTAGTGAGGAGTCGTGACCAGTGAGGTTCAATTAGATGTCACGTGTGTGGATGGATGTCCCACCAACGACAATGGTTGGGGTCGCGCTAAATCACGAATTGGTAGAAGTTAAAATTCATGAGCCATTGAATCGGGTCCCAGTGGCTGAATGGTATACGAGCTTGCCTTGTAACCGGAAGGTCCTGGATTCGAATATCAGTGGGTGCGTACTGACGATGATTCCCAAATTAGGATGAAACAGCAGCTGTCCAGTACTCCCTGGTTTTCAATGGTTCTCTAACTGATATCAATCTGTGATCAACTCGTAAAAACATGACTAACCCTTACAAACCAAACTATAGAAAATATGTTGTAATTGTTTTGCACATAAACTTAATAATTTCTTAAGGCTGTAAGTCTCTGATGAGAAGCCTAATTCAAATTCATAAAGTGGGAATAAGTGAATAGCCCACCATTTCCACGACTACAATATCAAAAAGCACTAATAATAATAAGTTTTTCCACCGATCTTTCCTGGTCTTCCTACATCTTGCTAGTTACTAGAAAGATGTTTCGCTCAACGTTCTACATTAGGAAACTTAGGCAGTTTGGCATTAAGCAGTCTTTGCTTTCACAGTTTGTAAATTCTTGTATTCTACCCATCCCCCTTTACTACTCCCCATTAGTCTTTCCTGGACTACTTAAGAAAGACTTTGCTTCGCTGAGAAGGGCACTAAAAGCCGTTAGTAGGGCAAGTGGGATATCGTTAAACCAACTGGTTAACACTATTGTGGATAGACATATAATGTCATCTAAGAAACTAGCGAGTACAATATTGTCGGACCCCGAGAATCCTCTCTATACGCATCTGTCTCCTTGCATTTCATCTGGTAGAACTAGAAGCAGCTATAGGCGGGTATATGCTAGAACTACCAAATACAAAACTCCACAATACCATATCTGGCACAGCTGTTATGTCATGTGAAATCCGTTAGGTATGACACGATAAACTTACTGCGGCACTCTAACAAATAGTCCCATTAGTTTTGTTTTCCTTTCCTCGTTACTATTACACTGTTGTTCTCATCTTCTATCACACATCAACTTTATATTTCATATCCCGTGGTGCATTATTTGAAATGTAAACTCTACGCTTTGTTTTTTTATTTTTATTTATCTTTTTCTTGGCGTTGGTTTTTATTTATTTTTTTATTTTAAAAATCTTATATAATTTATGAGGTAATTAGATGCAATATACTGTAATGCACGCTGAAAATTCCATACCTGTACCACAAATATCGTTTGGAATAAAGCTGTTATTATTATTATTATTATATTACCAAAACACAACCACACACACGCACACACACACACACACATTGTAAAAGGGTCAAAGTCATCAAGTAGAATAGATTATACTAATTACCGATTATTATCCATTCTCGTGATCTTTTTGACAGTAGCGTGTACTAACTGTTTTGGTGCATCAGTTGGATTATCGGCTAAGGCGGTTTCAACTAATTTTTGTGGAATTTGTTCAACTCCTCCATCAATAGTGAATACGTCAGATACTGTACACGCTGAAGATATCAAACCTTAAAAACATAATGTTGAGAGAAAACAAATAACAAAATAACATCAAATTATTATTAGACGGAGAATAGAAAAAATGGCCAAGTTGAAATTTAAGCAACACACTAACTACCAATGCAGTGCTTCCGCACCATTGACCTTGAATAGTACAATGAGATTTATTCACATGAGTTGAAGCATCTATTCATTCCACTTGATTTGAGTCAAATGCCTGCTCTGAGGCAGTTACGTCTGCAATTTGGTGAGTACCAAGTCTCCAGTATTGCTTAGATTAGATGTGGGATTGACTAGGAAAGATAGGACTTGTTCACATGGCAGTGTGATGACCATAGAATGCTTCGCCAGGTCGGTTGATGGATATGTGCATCGTTGTGTAATTTGTTTGAGACGAGTTAGTGTCAGGGAAGGTAGGTTGATGATTTTAGTATTTCGTAGGAACATATGATACCTCTCTCCAAAGAAAGGATTCGTGGAGAGGATTATCAGATAGAAAGTCAAGTACTTTAATACCTATTATCAGTCGACTGGTAAAACAAAGGTCTATAATACACGTAGATGAGTGGAGGGGTTATAACTCCTTGTCATCCTTTGGATATTTTCACCAGAGTTAACCATTTTAATGATTTTGTGGATCCCATCACAAGGACCACTACCCACCAATTCTATCGAAGGCTTTTGGGGAAGGTTAAAGAACAAGATAAGAGCCACTAAGGGATCTCAAAAGGATGTCATTAATAGTCATTTAGATGTCTATATATGTATAGGATGTGGTGTAACTTTTCAATTGATACTCCTATACTAAACTGGGAGATGTTTTATCACAGGTGAAAGGTATCCTATGCAACACTTTTATAAAGGTTTATGCATCTTTTTCATAAATATATGTATTCCATACACAAAAATGCCTCCTTCATGTGATTGGTGCGTTCAAGTTCATTCGCTGATTGGTAGTTAGTGGCGCTTAAAGTTTAACTTCGGCGAATAAATAATTGCAAAATATTTACCGCATATCAACTGATTAAGTGACATCGAAAAGATAGATAGAAAATACTGACAGAAAGTGGCATGTCTAATCCGTAGGTTTCCGTGTTCTGGTGACTGGTTGGTTAACGAATTCACTTAGTAACTTGAATGTTCTGGTTTCGATCTCAGCCAGAGTCATATTGTATAGTGAAATAGCTGAATCGAAAAAGAATCTATTCACAATATTGACGCTTATTTGAATTGTAGGGATATGCACTACTTTTAAAGGTAGATTTCGTCAAGAACTACAACATCAGTCGGACAGAAAGAGAGAGCATTGGACTGTTGTTTCGTCCAAGTTCCGGACTCCTCGGCAATGAGAACCCTTACCCCCACAAAAAGGGAACGAACCCAGGACATTCAGGTGACAAAACTAAGCTAGTTGACCATTTAGCCCTTTCGGCTGAAAAGTGAATTCTAACTTTGTCGATTCATGATATACAGCGCTAAATTCTCACTGAAATTAATCTCAATTTCTACAAAAATCCATACTGTAAACATTAGTCTCCAGCTCATTAATGGCTACTGGATGGAAATCCTGATGCTGTTCTGAGAAGTCGTGACCAGTAGGATCTACCAAGTCAGTGTGAATTAAATACAAATCGAAGGCATTGATTGGGGATAGTTTTATATCGAAAATGCACGGGTCACCAAATTTCAGTCCAAGTGGTCGAAAAGTCAACAAGCTTGGTGCCGTAACATGGAGGTTTTCGGTTTGATCTCCAGGGGTGGAGTAGGGAATGCGTAGTGCTGAAGAGTCCCAGACTACAACGAAACAGCTGTCTAGCACTTAATAGACTTTCAGTACTTCTCTAACCGATGTTAGTTTGAGAACTAACTGGAAACCAAACAAATTACTTCAAACAAATACATGAAAAGATGACATTCACCAAAGGATAAACGATGACGAGGACGTACTTTAACAATGTAAGGAAAAATGTTATCCATTTGACCGATGAGGTCTAGAAGTGGTACAATCCAGGACAAGCACTTCTTCCTATTTGGCATTCGTAATCAATCAGCTAGTGGTTTTACCCGCATGTCCCAGTGAGTGATGATGGTGTTCCCCCGACATAGGCATCTAGAAGGCAGACTGAATAACACGAATATTCCTTAAACATTCTAGTTCTGTGTAGGATGAGAATAATACTCACACATTGAGTACAATAAGACAACACATACAGTTTGCAACCTTCTCTTCTGATGTGTTCCATTTCATGAATACTGACAGTTAACGTCAAAAATCAAACATATATATATATATATATATGAATTACAGCAAACCAGACTCACCAACAAAGGCATGAGTATCCAAACTCTGACAATAATTGTTTGAAAGTATGCCAAATGCGAATTCATTTATATACTTCTCCCCAACTCTCAATTTTTTACGCAACCAATCTGCATAAGTGTACTTTGTCATTTCTACAAAGTCTTCAGATAATGCCTTCAAAAGTAATGCTGGAGTAGTGTAACAATTACCATTATTTTGTAAGCTATATATCCTGTGAGTTATGTAATTAATATGAAAACAGGAAAAAAAATAATAATTACCAACAAGTATTAGAAACTTAAAATTCAATTCTCATGCTCATTAGTCACTGGTTGCAGGACAAAGTTGTTTGGAGTTGTCTAGTGAGAGGAATAACTGACCAGTAGGTGAAGTCGGCCAGTGCTTCTATACAGGTCAGAAACTTGCACTGCGTGTCTAAAAAAAAGCATTTCCAACAAGTTACAGATTTTGTCAACAAACGCCCACTTCTCTGGCTGGCTCCCTATTGAAGGTTAAATGGCCAGCCAGCCAGTCAGCCAGAAGGAATTACCAACAAGAAACTCTGACTGGTTGAGAACAAACCAACAGGCGATAGCCGATCGGTCAACAAATATGCAGGATTAGAAAATAGAGATGGATCGATGGGGCATACGTTGAGGAGGCTGTTGAATGACATCGCGCTGAATGCAGGCCATCGCTAGAGTGGAATCCCAATAGGAAGCGATGTGTGAGTCATCGGCAGCGAGTGACATGGAGCAGATGAGAAATTATGTGCAATCGTGGACCAAACTGAAGAAGATAGCAGCAAATAGAACAAAGTGGAGATATGTTGTTGAAGCCCTATCTTCCAGTCGGGACTCAAGTGAATAATAATGATAATAATATAAAAATAATAATTCGCCAGCTTGCATCTTGGGACAAATACTCGCCGATAACACTGATTGTCAGTCACGCTATGCATCACGAACTGACAGAAGTTAGAACTAATGGACTGGTCATTGGATCCTTGTTCAAGTGGTTGAACGGTCAACAAGCCCGGCCTAATAATCTGAAAGTCTTGGGTTCTATCCCTAGCAGTAAGGTTGTGAGTACACACTACGTTAAAACCAAGAAGTTAGCACAACAGGCAGGCATTGATAACAGGACTTCAGAAGAGAGCACAGAAATGATGGAACATACGCAACTGCTACCATAAAACAGCAAGCACAAGTCATCATCTGCCAGATAAATCTAAAGGAACTAGTCTTTCCCTCAACGCCTCGACAGTATCAATTCAACTACGGGTAGCACCAATGAGTGTGTCAAAGGTCTCCCCGATCAGGGAAGCGATCAATCAATCAGTTTGGAAATATATATTACTCAGGATGATGAACAAGACCTCAGTTTTTGACCATTGATTCTATATGGTTCACAGATTTGGTGCACACATCACTGAAAGCATTTTTAACAACCTACTGCAGACTTCCACCCACAGATATACCCTTCATTGACACGATACTGTGGACCACATGGCTGGTCATAAAGGATAAGGCCGTTGAATGGAAAATGAGTGATAAGAGATAAATTGGGTGTCCTAGGGTGACAGGGAGATCATGTAAACAGGAAGTGAAAGCTTGTTACCAGTTGTCGAGTCAGCATAGAACAGAATACAGTGCGTTGCTGAAGCCATAACTCTGAACGTAAGGACCGAATAATTAAAATGATAATGACACCTGTGATTGTTCTCTGCAGTCCCCTTCAGCTAGCCCCACAATCTCCCATAAGTTCTCGTCTCCATCCCCCCTTCACGGTCACGCTTCAACTCTGAACACGTCGTTTTTCATCCGAGTTTCCCTGAAGCTATGGCCTGACGCACTATTTCACTAAATGGTATCCTCACCATGTGTTCGATCCATGTCTGCTTCGTTCGGAATATTTGTTGGCAAATAGGTTACTGGCTGGTTGTCAGACTACCTTTCTGCTCATCTTTCCTAACTGGCCATCTGACCTGATAAAAGTTTGAAGCCTGCTCAGACTGTTTCTGGTGACGCGCAAAGTCCTGAATCGTATCAAAGAGCCGATTTGATTTGATATTGGTGTTGGAAATCTGAATTTTGTTCTTTATGCTTAGTGCAGAAGATTTCCACACCGAAGCCAGATTAATGAAGGCCTGTCTTGCCTTTTGAATCCTCCCTGGGCTTGATATCCCCATCTATGCCACTCGTCTGTAGTTGGAACAATGTTAGCGAAGTGACTTCTTTGAAACTTATTACATCAACAGTGATTGGTGCTTTTTAATGTTGTGTGTTCACTTGAAGTCTTGTCTTTGCTACCTGTTGCCTCTCAACGGATGTCCAATCTATCCCCATTTTCCCGTACATATTTCTTATGCAATAGGCGGACAATTGGTTCATTCTCGGAGATCCTTGTTACTAATGCGTTCTGGTCATCTGAGTTTTAGTATGGAGCGGAGCCAGTTATTCATAAAAGTTTGCGGCCTGTTGGAAAAGCCTTCTATGACGCGCCAAGTTGCTGATATATACAGAAGAAATGATTTACATTCATGCTGAATATCTTAATTTTCTTCGCTATACTGAGTGCAGCAGATTTACACGCTGATTTCTGAGTGATGAAAGTCAGTCTCGCTTTTCCCATTCTGATGGGTTTTGATATCATCATCCGTGTCGTCACCTTGAATTGAAATCATGCTGCCTACATTCGTGAAGAGAGTGGCCTCGTTCAAATTTATCCCGTTGATAGTGATTCAGACTTGTTATTCTTCGTCGGTTATCTCCATCACCTCCATCTTCGCTAGAAGTCCTGTCTTTGACGCCTGTATCTTCTGTAAACTTATCGGTTTTCGCCCATAAGTCTTCAATTTTGCTTGGTATTAGACATAAATCATCTGGGAATTCTAGATCTTCTAGAGTCTTCATATCAGTCCAACATATTCCTGTCTTTTTGCCTCCCTCCCCCGAATTCCGCCACACAATCCAGTCCATCACAGATAGGAATACCATTGAGGATAGTCGGCTGATAGCCTAGTCTTATTCATGTCTTCACTTCAAAGACTTCACTGAGTTTTCCGTTGTGAATCACTTGACATATGGAGTCTTTATACATCTGTTCAAAGAAGTTGTTTTAGAGAATTGAGGCACTCCTCAATATTGATGTATATTTCCAATTACTTCTCAGTCAACGCTGTCTGTCGATGGCCTTTTCAAATTCGATGAAGCTGTTGAGGTAGAGGTTTGACTGCCATTCTATGCTCTCTTAGAAGATGATGATGCATAGAGTTGCAATTCGATCAACACGTGATTTGCCTTTCCTGAATCCAGCTTACTCCAGCCTGCAAGAGCTTTGCATCCAGTACATTTTTTATTCTCTCCAGGATGATACGACATAGTATTTTACTTGGCGTGGACAAGAGCAATATTCCACGCCAGTTTTGCGGAGGCCCTTTCTTTAGTATCTTGACAAGGTAGCCTCTCTTCCAATCTGTAGGCACCTTTCCTTCCTTCCAAACTCCTTCCAGTAATGGCATGAGTACATCTGCCACAATCTAAGGGGCCGTTCTCAGCGCTTTAGTAGGGATTCCATCTAGTCCCTATCAATCATATACACATTAATTCTCTCTCTCTCACTAACCTGGTGAATAGTTCAACTTTAGACGCCGTATATAGTCTTCCGTTGAGTATGCTTACTCCATAATGCCAAAATAAACGGAATGGTGTTAGAAATGTAAAGCTGTCATTAATATTAGAAAATATTGATTTATATTGTTCACCATAGAAAAATATACGCCGATCAGCTTCACCAAGACGACTGAAAGGAATTTCTGCAAAACAAAAGAAAAAGTTGAAAACTAATAACGATTTTAATTTATTTTTATATCAGCATTCCAATGCTTTCTATGTGCTTTACTTGCTTATAAGGTAGTATGGACTTTGGCATTATGATGGATAGTTTATGCAAGGGTTGAGATACTGCCTCGACGCCCAGGATGAAGCAGAAGGTCCTTTTAAGGAAGCATCTACCCCCATCCCTCAAGGTCTTTCATTTGAAGTCTGAGCGCCACAAGGCAGCAGAGCAGCGTTAGAAGTTGCTTTCCCATGACTATTGATGACCAAACCAGGTTCAAACGCCATTCAGTCAGTTCGGATTTTGGTGCCTGTGCACACTGTAGGTTTGGAGTTAGGGTTTTTTCAACTCCCCCTAGGTACACCTGCATGTCGTCCATCAGTTCAGCTGTTAGAGACGGGCGTTTGAATTCGACCTTCCACTTTTGTGAGGAACACCCCAAGCGCGTAAAAGCAGTCAATAGGACATACCTGCCACAGGCTATGAATGCGTCATATCATTGAGGTATTTCAAGACAGGCAGACTGAAGTCTACCCATACTTAACCACAAGTCATATAAGGGACATGGAACAGTATTACTGACAAATAACTTCAAAATCGTAAGACATGCTTTCTATAACTTTCTTTTATTTAATTCAAGAACAGTACAACTTTTCAAATATCTGACACTGGCCTTGTTTTTCCCATTTTCATTCCTTTACGTCCTAAGTGGAAAATAGGACTTTACAAACCTAAGCTCTGGTATTTCAGTAGCGTTGGCGTTGTTCGCAGCCTAACGTTCAACCTTCCTTCTTCAACCGACTAACTGAAGTTTAGAAGTGACTCAGCCGGAATGTGCATAATCAACTGTACAGGCCTCTGTAGACCTTTAGGAATAATTGCTTTCCTTAGATACTGAGGATCTGATGGCCAGTAGGTCATAAAGGATGAACAACAAGAAACTCCAGAAGTATAGTAAACCAGCGAAGACCCCTATTGCCCATAAAACAAGCAGAATGGGGTGCCAATAGATTAGACATACGTTGAGAAAACCGTTGAGCGACATCATATGCCAAGCCAAGTTGAAACAGAATGGGAGACGACGAATTGGGTGTATGTAGCAAGGTGATATGGAAGACATCATATGAAGACGAAATAAAAGTTAGTGAGTAGTTGTGGTGCCAGCCGAAAATGACAGCAGAGAATACAGTAAAGTAGAGATGTGTCATGTGAAACCACTTAACTGTCGAGAAGTATTACGTAGAATGGGAATCGAATCCCGGTTGGATTGATTCAAACAACAATGGCAACTACATGAAATTCTATCTCAATATTAACAAAATCTAGCGGGTAGCAGAAGCCGCTTTGATTTCTATATCCCAGTTAGTTGGTAAACAGAAAAAAAGCTTTGTCAGTTAGTGAACACTCTTAATGCCATTAGAATGCCATATGTCAAGTGGCCCACGACGGTAAACTCAGTGAAGCGTTTGAAGTGAAGACAGGAGTCAGAGAAAGATGCTTGTTATAACCGATGACATTCCCGACTGTGGTGGACTGAATTGTACTGCAGACTATAAGCAGTGAGAAAACAGGAAAACGTTGGACCGATAAGAGAAGTCTAGAAGACTTGAACTTCACTGATGACTTATGTCTAGTGTCGCACAAACACGAAAACGAAAATGTCGGTAGAAGAGGCAGGCAGGAGGCAATGACAGGACTTTAAGTGAACAGAGGGAGCGCAAAGGTGATAAAGATACCCACCCACTCATCTACCGACCACCACCACCAACAACAACAAGCACCAATTACTACCAGGGGAATAAATTTCAAGGAGGTCACTTCTTTCAGTTACCGCCTCGGTGAAATTATTTCACTTACAGGGGCAGATAGCAGAGAGGGGCGTGTCAAGGCCCAAGAAGGATCGAAAAAGCAGGACAGACCTACATCACTCTGAACAGACTTCATACTTTTGTCAACAGCTGTTTTCGCTCCATACTCAAGCTTAGACCGCCAGAAAGGATTAGAAACAAGGCGCTCTGGGATCGAACTAACCAAGAACACATTTCTCCACAAATATTCCGAAGGAAATGGAGATGGATAGCATCCAAGCTCAAGAAACAATCGAGTGCCATCGCATGCCAGGCCGTCGAATGGGTCCCGAGTGGGAAACGACGAGTTGGGTGTCACTCCAAGGGTGACGGGGAGGAAATCGTGTGAGGATAGCTAGAGAGTACTGAAGGGAACAGGACAAAATAAAGATGAGCTGTCGAAGCCCTGTGTCTGTCTGTCTGGATTCAACATAGAACTTGGCACCGAAGTGCAGCAGTTCGAGTTGCCACCTTCCAAATAGCACACAGAGGTAGACAAGAAGATGAGTGAAGAGAATTAATAGAGTTTGACAAATATAAGAGTGAAACAGAATGGGTAATGGTAGAAAGGAATATGAAAGATTACAGAGATTGAATACATCTGCGCCATTGACGACGATTTTGAGCCATGTCACCTATTGTCTCCAGCCATTGATTCCTAGAGTCCCGAGGGCCCCAACCCGGGAGTCTGCATCTCCCTACCTGACTCAGTTTAACTGTCAAGGATTTCATGGATTGATGCCATGTTTTTGTTTGGCCACCACTGGCTCTTTTCCAACCTGAACCTATATCAGCTAACAATGCCCGTCGGGGGAGGCGGTGGTTAGGCATGCGCACCACGTGACCTAGCCATCTTAGTCTATGTAACTTTATAACCTCGTCGATTGATTCTCCCTCTTTGCCCAACACTCTACGCCTAACGTCAACATTACTTATCTTGTGAAACCACCTAACTTGAGACAGAGATCGCAGACATCTATGATCGAAAGCAGTCAACCTTTTCATGTCTTCAACGCGTATTGGCCATGTTTCAGAGCCATAGAGAAGGACGGAGCGAACTGATGAGCAGTACACATGTCCCTTGGTTGATAACCGGATGTCACGCCTACGCCAGAGATGGTGTAAGTCAGCGAAAGCAGCTCGAGCTTTTCGGATCCGTGCTGAGATTTCATCGCCAATCAGTCCGTTGGTGCTAATACAACTTCCCAAGTAGGTGAAGTGGTCAACATGTTCTATCACTTCACTCCCTATCACTAAGTTAGGGGTTGACGTCGTCCAGTCCTGTAGCAGCATCTTACATTTTGCAGGGGCGAATCGCATGCCAAACATACGAAGATTGCTGCTCAAGGTGTTCAGAAGACCGAAAAACAATCAAACCACATGCAAGTATAACAAACTTACTGAATTTTTTAGCAAATGACATCATATAATGATTACTAGAATGAAAAACACTTGCTCCTGATTCCCACATATCCCCACAAAAAGGTACTGTTTTCATTCGACCACCAATACGTCCAGATTGTTCAAAAAGTGTAATAGAAACCTTATTACCAAATAACTGTCGTAAATAATACGCTGAGCTTGCACCACCAACGCCTCCACCAACAACCGCTGAAAAGATAAAAGTAATAAAGCTGTGAAAAGATAATGCATTAAATCAAGTATGGGATAAAAGACAAAATCCATTAGAGATTACAGCAACGTGACAGGTGCTATAGCCTACAATCGGTTTATTTTTATCCTAATAACATAATATTACCTTGTATGCTTTACTTTATCTGTTCTTTTACCTTAGATCAAAGAAGGTAGTGATTCAGTAGGCATAGAGCAAGCATCACACAACGCAACGTATTAAAATTTACAACCCAATGTATAAATTTTCACTTTCAATTCAAAATTGCATACCTTTCGTTTAAACTCACAAGACTAGTAGTGGAGAGATTGGGATAACAATCTCTACTTGCACTTCTTTCATAGTAGCATATCAAAAAATATGAAGTGTTACACACTGGTAATCATGTTTCCATAGTCCAGGAGCTGTCAAAAGATGAAGATGTTATCGCCATACCAGCGTTTCAGCTCCAGAATTCTAGAAATCTTCTAAGCCTACTGTTCCTGAGCCTCTATCGATTATGAAACCTTAGATTTTAGACACCTACCTACATTATTGATCTACGATTATTAAAATGAGCCGTCTTACTTCCTCTCAAATGAGATAATGAACCACTAACTGAGTTAACGTATGAATGTTTAAAAAAGTGCACCAGCTTAAGTTGATACACTTTAGAAAAGCATACAAAACAGGGAAAATGTATGCGATGAAACAGCAATGGACAAAAGTGTACAGAGGATGGAATAATTAGATGACAACCAGTAAACATTTTCAAAATCTGAACGGAAACAGGAAGCACCACTGAAGACGATTTTGAGCTGTCGCCAACAGTCCCCAAACATTGGTTATTAGCATCCCAAGGACGCCAGCCATACAGCCTACACCTCTCTACGTGGCTAAAGCCATCAGTTTGACTACTAGAGTTAATGTTATGTCTTCATCTAGCTTTCTTACCCTTTTGCAAACCACCTCAGGTAAGAGGTAATTTGGGATGCGTGATAAATAGCCTAGTCATCTCAATCGATGCAACTTTATAACCTGACTGACTGATACACCTGACTACGCCTAACTTCATTATTACTGCAATAATCGACAAGAGAATTAATGCAAACAAAGACCACGTCCCCAGGAACATTGGACGAAGAAGACTGGAACACAGCAGACAGGTTATTCGACGGATAGAACAAAACAACGCCAACACGGAAGATGACATAAGCTGGCAAGTCCCAAATGAACCTCATGTATTCTTCCCGAGATTTCGGGACCGAATAGTCCATTAGAAATGATACAACTCCCCAAAATGAGCAAACTGGTCAACACATTCAAATATTTCAGAAAGTAACCATAAACTAGGAGTCAGTGCAAGCTAGCAATGCAGCACCATCTTGCATATGACAACGGAATAGCCCAGAAGACTCTTCATTTTGTCAGCATCTTAATCTAGAAGGATTGTCGCCCTCATACTCTAGATCAACAAGATTTCGTTAGTAATAAGTCAATCCCTGAGACGTCGAATCTGACTACGGTCACCTCCATGAGTATGTCTACTATGAATTTAAAGAAGTCGACAGTGGATAATCCTGACAGACGCCACTGGTTCTTATCACCTGAAATGACAACTTTTCATAAGCTCTTACACAGCAACATAAATTATTATAGTTCCGTCCTTCTTGAAGATCATTTGGGGTACCATAGGCATCTTAGAATCCATTTGCTTAATGACTACTGCCAAGTACTGATGCATTTTCCAGTTGCTTAGCTTGCTTCATCTACCACTGTTTACTGTGATTGCGCAGGTCCTTAGTTGGATTACATTTAAGCTCTTCTTGCTTCTCATTGACACACCGAAGAAATCCACTGACGTTTAGTAACGTTTATCTGCAGTTCAGCAGCAACCTTCACTGTGTTTACAGCAAACTAGAAGTGATGTCGGGCTTCCTCAAGATGAGTATTATTATCACATTCAGATAAGTGTTCATTTCATTCCTTAACAAAGACTGTGTGCTTGCGTAGAGAAGCTTGCCGAGTAAGAGATAGCTGGTTGTTTTCGATCTTCGTTTCGTCACAGGCATACACATCTGTCTGCCTGTCTGTTTTCAACATACAACTTTGCACCGGTGTGCAGCAGTTCAAGTCGCCACACTCCATATAGCACACAAAACAAGAGAAGAAAGTAGAAGAAATGCAAAACAGAGACAGTAGACAGGGATATGAGACAAAAGGAATACTTATAACGAAAAACAATATAGCTTCATTGGAAATTATAAGTCACAAGAAGTGGATGCATCTGCGCCAGCCATTGACAACGATTTTCAGCCATATCACCAATTGTATCCAACCATTGGTTTTTACCGTCCCGAGGACTCCAACCAGGAAGTCTACACCTCCCTACGTGACTGGCTGTCTGTCTGTCTGTCTGTTTTCAACATAGAACTTTGCACAAATGTGCGGAAGTTCAAGTCGCCACGCGAAGCAAGAAAAGAAAGTACAAGAAAAGCATAATAGAAACAGTGAGCAGAGGTGTGAGACAAAGGAGTAATAAAGAAATACAAAACAGTTTCATTGAAGGTCATAAGTCACAGGGAGTGGATGCATCTGCGCCACTGAGAACGGTTTTGAGCCATGTCACCAATTGTTTCCAACCATAGATTTTTACCGTCCCGAGGACCCCAGCCTGGAAGTCTACACCTTTCTACGTGGCTTAGACCAACTGTTGCGGATTTCATTGACTGATGCCAAGTTTTTGTTTGACCGCCGCTAGCTTTTTTCCAGTCTGACCCTATATCCGCTAACATAGCTCGTCGAGGGAGGCGATGGCTTGGCATACGTAACACATGTCCTAACCATCTCAGTCGATGTGGCTTCACGACTTCGTCGATTGATTTCCCCTGTTTACCTAGAACTCTACGCCTAACCTCCATGTTGCTCACCTTATTATGCCACTTTACACGGGAAATAGAACGCAGGCACCTATGATCAAAGACAGCTAGCTGACCTTTTCATGTCTTCCACTCTCAGTGGCCAGGTCTCACTCACAGCCATAAAGGAGGACGGAGCGGACTGATGAGCAGTACACCCGCCCTTTGGTCGATAGTCGAACATCTCGTCTACGCCAGAGTCGGCGTAAACTAACAAATGCGAAACGAGCCCCTTGTATTCGTGCTGAGATTTCGTCAGAGATCAGCCCGTTGGGGCTGATGGTACTTCCAAAATAAGTGAAGCGGTCAACGTGCTCCACCACTTCACTTCCTATTTTTAAACTAGGCGTCTATGTAATCCAGTCCTGTAACATCATCTTGCATTTGGCGGGAGCAAATCGCATGCCAAACATTCGTAGATTGCGGCTCAAGGTGACTGGCTGGCTTAAACTAACTGTTGTGGATTTCATTGACTGATGAAGCCATGTTTTGGTTTGACCACAGTTAGCTCTTTTCCAGCCTGACCCTATGTCAGCTACCATTGCCTGTCGAGGAAGGAGATGACTAGGCTTACGTAACACATGCCCCAACCATATCAGGGATATACATGCGTGGACTAATGCATGATCACAATCCCCATAGGTTCTAAAAGGAGTGGCAGCCTACTGACCCTCTCCATCGACAATTTATAGGTAGGCGATATGTATTGTGCTCATCGTCGACTTAATGTAGTCGATGAAGCAGGATAAGGTGTTACCTTTCGCTTGAAACTAATCCAGGAGAAGGAAACATGACTACAAATGTCAGTTCGTCGTCATGGAACACTATAGAAAACCCACAATACACTCTTCGAACCAGTTTAACCTCCCTATCTAATCATTAAAATCATCTGCTGACGAGACAATTTGAACGTTTGAATTCAAGCATTAAACTAGACAGTTTCTGACAAAACTCGTCCACTACTTCGGCCGAACTGGAATCAGTTAATGCATAAGCGCAGACTAGGAAAATGCGTCGGAGAGTATTACACCTTTGCAGGAGCATTAGTTCCAGCCAGTGCAGTTTATTGGATCATTGCAATATAGAAAGCCCGATCACCAAGTCAAGGTAGCAACTATCATTCGCACAAAAATAAACAGCAAAAGAACTGGGCATACTTCAGTTATAAGTTAACCTTCGGTAAGTCCTAAGACAAGGCGTATTCAGAAGTACCCTATAAGCACCCAACAGGCGTGAACGCACCAGTGACCTTCGAAAGTAATTGCGCTAAAAAGTTAATTTGGACCCATAAGCCTAGACTATCCCCTAACCAACCCTAGTAATTCCCTAGTTACATTAACCCTAACCCTAACCTGCCCCTAGTTTAAACATAACCTCGATCTTTACCTAACCTAAATCAAAACTAACTAGATGTCCTTTTTTAATATCTCCACACTTCAAGCACCACTTTCTCTTCATGAATACAGTGTTATTCACCCGATTTTACCACCTCGATCTGACTGAGAGTTCTAATGCCATTGGTGGCTGGATTGAGACATCGCCCCAGACATCATCTTAGGTAGTAACAGGAACTGTCATAAACTCACTGACGCAAGTAACTCGTGACTTCCAGACCCAGATATTGACCGGCTTTTCTGACCAATTCGTAACCAAAAAAGGCGTTATTTTATTTGGTGGAACTCCTGTAAAGGTATACGTGATCCACACATGTTGGATATAAAACTCAAAAGTTAACTAATTTCATGGTAGTTGGGTGACAACTGCAGAGAAACAAAAAAGCCGACTTAATGTACCACTACCACATTGTTAGAATACTTACCGATAAATTAGCGACAACAAACTATGGCAGCCTGTGCAAATAATCATGTCATTTATCATGAATTCAGTGTAAATTTTATTTCTTAAGTTTTCAGCTGACACGACCAGATGCTTGACCCTCGACCGGGAAGAGTTCTGTAAACTTCCCACCCATTTACTATATGTACAGGATACTTGATGAAAAGAAAAATTTCCACACAGCAACTGTCTTTCCTAATTTTCTTCTACTGTGTGCTTTTAACCACTAGGATTAGGGTTAACGGCTAGATCAGGGTTACGAGTTACGGATAAAGCTAAGTTTAGGGTTAGGTGGTAGATTAGGGTTAGAACGTTAAGGCAATGCAGAATCGTCCTGCTAAGAAGCCTAAATATTCAAATATATTCAGTACATATGTACAGTCCTTTATGCTGACTGTTTGTCTAATTTTATTTGGTGGATGCTATAGTATACTTCCCTCAAACAATAAATTAGAAGACTACAGCAGATTTGACGACAGCTTCCATTGATTAGTTGTAAGAATAGACACCACAATGTATCAGGTGTCTATGGCCACAGACACATTATTAAACTTCACTGTCAAACCTAGATCTTTCTCTTGATCCTATTAATAAACTCTGTCCCAATTCCAATTCATGACTAAATAGGAACTTCTAGAAGTCAGTAACGCAACTTATAACACACAAAACACTGAATTTGTTACTATGCAGACAGTAAGAATACAAAATATGAATCATGAGTTAGAAAATGCAACGACTTATCCATTACAAAGCAAACCATTTGAGATCTAAAACTTACCCACTCTAAATTGATCCTGTTGTTGCATTTTAAAAACAGTCAAGCAATTGTCCAGTTACGTCAATGACATAATGTGCGCAAAAATTCAAGGCAGCCTGTCGACGGACGTAATTTTGAGTGACCGCGAATGAGATAAACAAGCGATTCGCTCGCTTGTGATTGGCCAGTTTGTCATTCGAGTTGAGGTAATTTCAAACATCATTTTGCTGCTTGGTTAAGTTCTGAATTTCCGTGGGCGTTTTATCAAATTGGAGAGATAACTGACAACACAAATGATTACAGCTCAGGAAAGAAATGATATAGCAGTGGATTTATTTGCTGAATTCAACGAATTCATGCCAAATTACTATCTAAGGACCTCTCAGGAGTATCAAGAATGCAAACAATGTCCTGAAGAGGTAATAACTTCACGCAACTTCAATTATCGCTTGACCATTATTTTCAGAGATCCTTAAATAAGTATAATATAGACAGTGGTCTGGCTAATCATGACAAAAATGGCATGGTTGATGCAGCAAATACGTATACTCATGTATATGTAGGTAAACCTAGATAAACTGTGTTCTTGTCACGAAGATCGGAAAGCAGGTACCAGATGTCTCAGTAAGCAGTGTAATACATGTAAGTTACATGTTTTTATTTGACATAAGCTGGATCTTCACTCACTTTCAGAATTAATCTTGAATTCAGTTGGAATAAGCTGGTTGAGCACATCAGTATTGAGAGAATACAGTGAAAGTAAGTAAACACATGCTTCTTAAGATTAAGTGATACATTTTTTTGATATGATTGTATTATTGTTAGTTGTCTATCTAAGTTAATGATGAATTCGTTGCGATAATAATACCTATTATTGTTTTTATAGTCACTATGAACATGAATGTTATTATTATTGCTGTCAAGACCTATTATTTGTCATAAAGTTGTTGTCATTTTTGCTAAAATATTTGTACAAGCTTTGGAAACTACTGCATAACTTGTCGTTAAATAATTTTATCATTTCATGATGCTTCGATGGACCTACTAGATATCGACAAACGATAAGTTGCGAAGTCCCTTAAGTTTAGTGAAAACTATTGGGCTACTTATACATATATTGCTTGTAAAGTGATTACTTGTAAATGCTTATCAGGAAAATTTTTTATTCAGATCATACATGTAATACCCAAGTTAATTATGCTTTTCTTAAACCTTTTCAGACTTATGGAAAAACATATATGTGCCGTGTACGCAGATGGAACTTACTGACGGTAACAGAGGACTACTCATCTGAATTATCTGTACATTTGAAATCTGATTTTTGTTTAATAAACAATTTTCAATGAATCTGTCTTCCTTCTGTTGTAATGCGATTGTGTTCCAGTAACATAAGTAGCACGTGCTAAGTTAGAAGTTGGGGGTAAACTGTTAGGAGTAAATGCGGCGTCTGGAAAACTTTTGTTTACGTGATTATATGAGCAGATAGCAACGTATCGTGTTCTTTGGCTGAGGACCCTAGGCATTCTGTTTTTAATTATTACGATAACCGTAGTTGCACTGAGTCATACATCTAACAGCATAGGTATAGTCTCTCCTTATGGTATGCTGCGGCATGCAGAAATCACAAGCAAACTATCTCAGGTAGATTTACTCTTACCTTGTGACTATGAATCGCGAATCAGTATATGTATTCTGCTAAGACGACAGATAACTCGAAACGCTTTATAATCGCAATACCTCCTCTACGACTTAGACATATTTACTTTATTTGACTACAACATAATGTTTTACCAATAGGCTTCTCCGAATATCTGCTCCTACTTAGTATTTCAAAGATAGCCTCATATACTCTATACCTCACAAATTACGCAAGGGCTAATATTCGGTCTTATCAAGTAGAATAAACAAACGAATAACAAGGGATACATTTATTAATGAATTAACATGTAATACAAAATCGACAACAGTGCAGGCATCTTTTTCTTTATCACCGAAATCCATGAAATTCCCGAAAGTAGATATTATCTGAAAAAGAAGATAAGAATTATACAGATGTAGATATTGTTACCAGTGTAAACACAATAATTAACCATTAAATATGCTTAAAATGACAAAATAATGATTTCAACTGTATATAATTATGTTAGTCAACATTTTTCAATAATGCAAAGTTGATATTCCATCTGCCTGCTAACATCAACTTTATGCCATCAAATAAGGAAATACTATGCATATATAATTTTTATGTATTTTTGCAGATTTTTCTTAAAGAAATACATGTGGAGGAGCCTTGTCAGCATTTAGCCAAAGTACACAACAAAGTAAGTGAAATAATTACCAAAACGAGCTATCCCACCTCATCATGTCCATGTGTAATCCATTAAACTGCAAAATAAATTCACAAAAAGTCTTTATAACATATTTCTCCAAGTAATTAGACATTTTCTGAACGGAAAAATACGTTATTTTCAAGAAACTGTAAACTGCCTGTGACCTACGTCCGGATAAGAACACCACCATATGCTCTTTCTGCTAAACAGGCCGCATTTCATCCACTTTTAGCAGGAATATAGGTAGAAAAGTGTGAAAAACAACGAAAAATGACCTGACCTTGACGTTTTTCCAATAAATAACGCCAATATCCATCAGCTGATCAAATGACCTACGTCCGTCTACAGGCTGCCAAAATTCAATGCCATATTAGTTTATCTGTATGATGACCTAGACGAATTATGTCTGAACCAATTAGAACAGTTCATGCTTCCAATATCCAATATCGTTTTTACGAGCTAGTATAAACCAATTTGATTTCTTTGTGCTCGCTTCTTGATTGTGAAGTATAGGTTCTTGATCTTCGGTAAACTTCTGCGTAGCTTGTCCCGCCACTCGACTGTCGTAGCTTTGGTTGACTCCAAAGGGAATAGTGCTGGGATTAATTATATGTGGTTTGTAGTATGAGGTATGTTAAGACTGTTACTACTGTGATTGGAGTTGATCCTTTCACCAGTTAGTCCTTCGGTATTGTCGACAAGAGAAAAGAGATAGTAATAATAATAATAATAGTAATAATAATAATAATATATATAATTAGTGAAGCTATTCAGACTAAGAGACAGAAACGAAAATAGGAAACGTAACAACAGTCAGCTCATTAAGTTTGAAGAATAATATATATATCGGTAATAGTAATAATAATTATAATATTAATAAGTTGTCAGGAGAGTAAGACGGGAGAGAATGTAAAGAAGTAAAATGACGAGTTTAATTATCTACCCTGATTGGTAAATGCGATTTTAAGGAGATAGGCCATTTGGATGCAGTCCTTGTATCGCTGCATGCTTAACTGCCTTTTGATTGGATAATCCATCCTTAAACGTATGGCTGAAATTAACAGTCACGTGACTTCAGAAAATCCTATCGTCTAAGCACTGTCTTCACAATTTTTTATAAATCTACGATACTCTAGTGTAATATTTAGCACATAGACGATATAGAGTTGAACTGATAAATACGTAGAATTTAGACACTAATACTATGTAATTTCATATTAGTTTCCCTTATTAGTTCCCGCACTTAGGGAACCATTTGAAAACCTGGGAGTACTGGAAATCCAACGAATATGCACTGAAGACACACTTCATAAAGAAGAAAGAAAGTTGGCACAAACTCTAGTCGATAACAATTATCCAGACAAGGAGATAGAAAATAGGACAGCAAGATCCATTCTCCAACTCGCCTCTATGAAAGACGCCTACATCAAGCAATGCGACAAGTTTCTGATCTGTACAGATGGACCGAGTTGACATTGGTGTTGAAAATGTGAATCGTGTTCTTAATGCTGAGTGCGGAAGATTTACAAACTGCTCTCAGGTTAGTTGATTAAGGCGTATCTTGTCTTTCCGACTCTGACTTTGACATCTTCATCCGTTTTGCTGTCCTGTAATTAAAGCCGCGCTTCCTTGGTAGGTGAAGGAAGTAACCTCTATCAAATCTCTCCTGTTGATGGTAATTGATGTTGGTTATTGTTGCTGCTGGTTGTGGTGCGTGGTTTTCTTCATCACTTCTGTCTTCCTTATGTTCACATGCAGCCCCGTCTTCAGTGGCTGCCAGCCTCTTCAGCCAGTTTGTTGGTCTTCGCCTGCACGTTAGTCTTCGTGTTTGTGTGACTTTTAACATAAATCATGCATACGCGAAATCTAGATCTTCTCGAATCTTCTCATAAGTCAGTGCAGCGTATTCTTGTCTTCCCACTTCCTGTGCACATTTTGACACATACTCTAGTTGAGCACAATTAAGAATATCATCGGTGATGATAAGCAGTCAGCCTTATCTTACTTCGATATTCACTTCGAACGTCTTACTGAATTTCCCGCTGTGGATCACCTGACACGTGGCATTATCATATAGCCAGCTGTCGAATGAGGTTAGTAAAGACTTGAGGCAGTGAACGTATTGTCTTGCAGGAGAGACAACAAAAACCTCGCATTTAAATCAACTAGCTAAGAGAACTTGATCACATCAAAATAAGTTGACTAAATTAAAGTTCTACATTATTATTGTAGTCGTTATTATAATAATAATGTATATTTTCACATAAACATATAAATTTACATGAAAGCTAATTAGTATTTCCTCAACTAATAATAGTAACATGAAGATCCGATGTTCTTTAAAATACCAAGCTAATGAATTCCAGTCTGACCTGATCAGAAAATTGGGCTTGCCTTTGGAGTTATATATATAAATTGGCTTCATATTTTCAATTATTATGATATTAGCTGCATAAAAATCTTCTTTTTAGCAGCGACAAATAATTGTCTAGTTATCAGGCTGCTATGATGCCCCATATGGGTTAACTTGATGTTCACGTCTTTTTTAGAGTCGAGTTTTAGAGTGGGTCTTCGTGTTCTGACTACCTTATATCTGCTGATGAAATGGACTAAATAACTGTTATCAGCCAGAGTTTGTGTCTACTTTCCTCTTTCTTCATCAAGCGTGTCTTCAATGCATATTCGTTGGATTACACTGAAGAGGCACCTTACTTACGCTCTTTTGTGCCGAACAGGGCAGAAACTGTGATGATTAAGACACTGTGCTGTCAAGGTAGGTGTCAATGTAGTTGAAGATTGAACGATCAATTCATGGTTGTTTGCTCAAACCCAACTCCTCTATAATTTTCGCGGAATCATCAATCCAACAGTCATCGTCTCATCGTTCGCCGTTTAGTGGAAGATAAAAAACTATCAGAAGTAATTTCGTGATTTATTATTATAACATTTGTTCTTAGACCTTACTCTATAATAACATTATTGTTGGTTATATTCTGGCGTTAGAAAAAAGAATTCTTAAGTCGCCAAACAGTGTTTTGGTTTTTGCGTCGGTTAATATTAAGCGTTTCTAAAAATCTTCGAGGGACAGCGTGAGACCCAGCGCAGCAAGAGCTGGACATTGACGCTTTATGAGACTTGACTGACAGTTTCTGATAGTTTTTGGTTAGTTTCCATTCGTCTTTCCTAGTGTCCGCAGTCTTCTTTGAACAAGCGTTATCTGGAACTTTTCTGGAATTTTCGATCAAGTTCAATGATGCCTGTGTCGAAGGAGGGACACAGCGTCTTGGAAGCAAACAGGAAAGTAAGTCATGTTGAGTTGTCTGTTACATGTAATGATGTGTGTGATGTTAAGAATGATAAGTTTGACGTCAATGTCCCGCCGTCTAGGGATAATAGGAATTTTAAAATTTATAAGTTTGAGCCTCGAGGTTTCGACGGAAACCCAGCTGACTATTTACAGTTTGTAAAGGAGTTTGAAATCATAATAATAATAATAATAGTATATTCTCATTTTGTACATGAGAGATGCCAGTTTGCAGGCATCATCAATATGATAAATTACATATACGATTAGCAATCATAATTAATAATAATGTTTTAATAAAATACACATTTTTTCCTACTTGTGTAGGACACACCAAATATACAGGCATGGGTAAGCATTTGTCAATGGAGTTGTAGATTGAACGATCAATTCTTGGTTGTTTGCTTAAAATCAACTTCCCCAATTTTCGCGGAGGCATCAATACGACAGTCATCGTCTCATCGGTCGCTGTTCAGAAAGAAGAGTAAAATATCGTCAGAAACCTTAGTTCGCTTATTCCTTTTATATGTTGGTGTAACAATAAACAAATCTCAAGCGGCAGATCGGTGTTTTGGTTTTTCGTCCGTTATAACTAAGCGTTTCTGAGAAATCTTCGAAGAACAGCGTGGGCCCGAGCGTAGCGAGAGCTGGGCATTAACG